TTTAAGTATTTATGGATTTTAGCCATTGTTGGAGGGATTGGTGTTTTTTCCTTTTTTGTTATTGTGATCCACCCAGAGTCACCCATTGGGGGAGAGGGGCGGCATACAAGATTAATAATAAATAAATAAATAAATAAATATTGAGTGTATAAGAGTTTACTGCATAGGTGGAATACAAACAATATGTTGGCTTGCAAGATAGTTACTAAATAAGAGACCTTAGCTCATAGATCTTAACCTGCACAGGCCTGGGTGCTTACAGAAATGGGGCAAGGGGGGGAAGTATGGAACTACATTATGCGATCGCAATGCAATTTTTGTCTATTGTATACTTGTGTTGCAAAGTCACACACAAACACTCAGAGTTGGAGCTTGTATCATGATGCAAGATGACTTTGACAGAAATATGCAGGAGCCATTAGCTAAGCAAAAATATTTTTTTAGGTCCAGAGCAAGGTAATATTCAGAAGTGGCTCAGGCAGATAGATGCCTCCCTCATTCACTGAACCATAAGAAGGAGGAGGTACAGCACAGCCAGACTTGCAAGATTCTGTTATTATAGCTAATCATAATAAAATCATTTCAGCCTTTCTGTGGAATTGATTTCCTGGCCTGGTCTACCTAGTGGGGCTGACAGGAACAGCGTGATAGGGCCCTTTCCCTCTAGGTTTTAGGAAGGCACTAAACAAAATAAATACAGTCTACAAATACTTTATTCTACATTGGGACGCAATGTGTTTCGAGGGCATATCTCTTAGTCAGGGGACTGAAATAATAAAAATAACACCTTTACAGTATATATAATGAATTTAATCTGTCCATCGAAGTATAACATTCATAAAGTATAAATTCACATGGCGCACATGAACAAGACATTGACCAGTCTGAAACAGGGAGGGCTCCACAGAAAAAAACCTGTGTACATAAGGTACAAAGCAGGGGAAAACAGGATGGAATCTTAGAAACGCATGCAAAACTTACATAAAGCAAACAAAAAACCAAATAACCAATTAAGATCAAAACTAAAAGCATAAAAATGTATCGGGAAGCAAGGCCCAACTGAATGAAATACAGTTTAACAAAATGAAAAGTAACCATTCATGCTCTGACCAAACTTTTTGCAATAACTTCTTGCAGGGAGATGGGATGTTTAAGCTATTTATGGATAAATGTATAAGAACTTTCGGTATAGAACTGACAATTACTGTGTCAGGGTTCAGGATCATTGTGTTTTATAGAGAAGGAGTAAATGGTTGCAAGTTATACATAAATAGCAAAAAACTAGAGCAAGCATAAATTATATTCATTATGCCATAGGGAGGAAAAATAGTAGTAAAGTAGCTGTGAGAATGTTAAAAATGGAAAGGCTCTAGGTAAAATATGGATGTAATTTACTTAAGGAGTGGCTTTATGATTTCTTTTTAGTGTGTATGAGAATTCTGGATCTCTGTCTGATAAGTGGAAAAATGTTCAAAGAGAAAACTAGCAAGACTGAATGCAAAATTTAAAGGGGATTTATTTGTTAAATATACCCGGGAAAGTCTATGGCAGATTTCTGATTGAAAGAATATGACAGGTGCCAATAAGTAAAATTTAAGAACTGCAATGAATCTTTATGCAGGGGAGGGACTGTACAGACCAGATCTTTGCTCTTTAGCAGGACATTGAGAAATGTTTGGAGGTAGTTAGATAGTTCACTTATATTTGTTGATTTAAAGAAAGTGTGTAATGAAATGGGTATAATTAATTAGGGAATGTTTTGTGTAAATATGTGAAAAATGGGTTACTAAGTGACACAAAGTTAGTGGTATATAATGAACTAAAGTCACTGAAAATAAATTAAATGTTTAGAGAATGGTTCAACTCTGAACAGGGAGTAAGACAAGGATGTGTGATGTGCCTTTTGTTGTTTAAACTATTCATATAGATAAATGTACATGAATTTTCAATATGGAACTGACAATTACTGTGTCAGAGTTCAGGATAACTGTGTTTTACAGGGAATAAACAAATGGTTGCAATTTATTTGTAATAGCAGAAAAACTAGAAGCATAAATTCTATTTATTATAATATATAGAGGAAAAATCTGAAAATGGTTAAACACAGAAAAGTTTTTTTTTTTTGCTGAGGTTATAAAATAATTCTTTCTCTTGACATCAGCAGGTTTATTATGTATCATCTGTTGTCTCAGTGAAGGAAATATTAAAAGAGCTGTTGGTATTAACAGAGTCAGAGTGCATTTCTCAGAGAAATATTATTAGTTCATGCTTATCGTTGCAGATAATGATTCCACATGAGAATCGAACCAGTGAATCTATGTACAACAAAATGAACATATCAGAACTCAGCACCATGATCCCGCAGGTTGGAAAACAACTTTGATAATGCATGATTGGACTGGATATTTACCTTTCCAAACTGAAATCTGCTTTAGATGTGCATAAGGTGCAATTTAAATTAAAATAGTTAAAATCCATGTTCACAATTATCTTAAGTACAGCTATGTTTTTATTAAAGGTTCAAAACATTTGCAATGTACATTGAACTTCAACTTTGCAAGCACGTGAAAACTTGTAAATTATCCAGCTGCTGCTGCTGCTGCTCCTCCTCCTCCTTCTCTTTGTAAGAGCCAAACGCTAAACATTTATATATCTTTCAGTTTGACTGGCTGACATATATTAGGAAGGTGATTGACACTAAACTCCATCCTGACCTGAAGGACATTGATGCTTCAGAGAACGTGGTCATCCGAGTCCCCCAATATTTTAAAGATTTATTCAGGATACTAGAAAGAGAAAAGAAAAAGTAAGGATTTCTCATTGTCTTTGTTTTTTTCTGCTGGACTATCAGAACAGTGTGTTGGTTCCTGGTGCACTTTGAAGTTTCATACCAAGAAATAATCTACAACCGCAGAAGTATTTCAGTTTGTCATGGGATTGGGTTGTGCAATGCCAAAAAAATTATGTGAATGACACAGACAAAGAAATGTTGGTAGAGTTGAAAGGAAGCTTGCAAAGTTTTTTCCCTTTTCAGGACCAGAGCAGAAATTTAAAAAGCTATCATAAGGATTTGTCTACTAGCTTTGCTGAATCAGATGCATTATATATAGTAAAAATACATGGCTATAATTTAGATAATATTACTGTCAGAACAGCCTTCCCTAACTTGAGAGCCTCCAAATGTGGTCGAGTACAGGTCCCATAAATGCTAGCCAGTGTAATTCAATGTGATGAACTCTGCTATTCATTTGGGAAAGGAAAAAGGAGAAAAATAAGGAATAAAAGAACCATTTCATGACAACATGAAGAAGCAGTAGCTTCTGACTGGATTACAAATTCTTCTATTCAAACCCATACATGCTACTGCTTTTTAATTGTTTAAAACATGAATTTAAACCAATGCAAATGGTAATAAAGTTGATACAAATATCAACAGTTGCAAAGAAAAAATCCTGCATTTCATTTTATTTAAACTAATGCCACAAAAAACACATTGTAAAAATTTGATAAACAGGACAGCAAAAACTAAAAAAAGAAGATAAAAGTGGAAACAAGAAAGAGAAAAAATTACTTTGTTATGGTTTCCAAATAATAATGTATTAATATTCAGATTTTAAACAAAGTCTTCATGGAATAATATTATCCAATATTACCTTTGTTAATAAAAAGCCACTTCAAAGCTGAGAGCTGACACTGAACCCAGCATTAAACTCTGGTACACACATTTATTACAAAATCACCTTTTTCACTATCTTCCAGACAGGATATATTAAACCATGGATAGAGAAGTTCAAATTTAACATTTATATATTAAACCTTAACTTCCTTCAACAAACCTGGTCCACCACAGTATTAATCTCTAATCAATAAGGCACTACCAGTGGGCATGACCAAAGCATGCACACTAAAGTTCCTTGAAATTTATTACCTCTCCACCCTAAAGCCAACATCTTTGAAACATCTGTTGAGGATCCAATATGCCCAATATATTCAGTTTGCAAAAACTGCAATACTATGGGTTCTCACAAGAGATTATTTTGATGATAGGCTATGATCAAGCCCTTACTGCATTCAAGTGATATGCTACAGACTTGGAAAGCCAATCAGAGTAATCCACCCTACCAAAGAATGTGTTTCTGAGTAGTCAATCCCCTTTTTTCAAGCTGGCAAGGTATTTAAATGGAATAACCTTTCATAAATTCTGAACAGCATCAACATTAGCATGTTTTAATACCTTTCCAACAACAAGCCCTACATGGCATGGGACCAGGTTACCTAAGGGACCGCCTCTCCCCCATGACTTCAACCCATCCCACCTGATCATACAGAGAAGGCATGCTTCAGACCCCCTCAGTAAAAGAACTTCAGTTAGTGGGGTCCAGAAGGCAGGTCTTCTCAGCGGTAGCCCCCACTCTTTGGAACATTCTGCCCCCGGAGGTGCGATTGGCCCCCTCACTCC